ACTCTGTGATTTGCCTCAAAATTATTCTTTAGATGAGATGTAGATTACATGAGATGGAAAGGGGTTTATCTTGTATGCATTTTTATTCTATTGCTTTGTAATTTCCTTCAGTATTCCCTCTTGTTAGGAGCTAAGACAGATTAAATAGGGTGCTCTGCATAGCTTAGAGTTCTAGTCTGGAAAACACTTGCTGTTTTCCAAACAAGCATCCTCATGTTTTCTCTTCTCTTGGCAATCAGTGTAGCAGGCAGAGAGTCCATGTTTGCTGTGTTTCATCTGTAGTCTTTCCTGACTGTCTGAAGCTGTGTCTTACCACCATTGACTCTCTTGTTGCTATTTCTCCATCTAAAGCCATTTGGAATTCAAAAAAAGGCACACCAGGTCTGTAGCACATCACAGGATCCCCATTTGCAAGGTTAGCTCAGGCACTAACTTGGACTGCAGGAAAGCGTGTGTAGGCTATGATTTGTAGATTCACATAGGAGATGGGGACTAATGCCATAAAGTCCTTTATCCCATGATATTTTTTTGACTGTTACTCACAAGGCTGGTCTGACACCAGTGAGAAGCAAGACTTTCAGGGCCACACGCTTGTGTAGGTTCCAGTTCTCAATGGCAATGGCCATCAGCAGTCCCCCAATGAAAAGCATATTGGAGTCCTTTAAATATTCCCGACAGACCTGTAGCATGGAACAAGGGAGAGAAAATAGTCAGAAGAAGCCAAGAGAGAAGGCATTTTCTGAGGGAGGTTGTTCCAAAGCCATTAGCACAGAGTAACTCTGGGTTGCATCTGAACAGTGAATTTGCTTTGATTTCAGATTAGCAGCTCCACCCAGAGCTCACTGTAGGCTCGTGCAAGTTCTATTCCATGAAGAAGACACCCAATTCCCTGTGTAACAGCAGTGGAATAATAATAGTAGTAGTAGTAGTAGTAGTAGTAATAATAATAATAATAATAATAATAATGGGAAATAATCCCTGAATAAGAGAAGCTTATTAATCACTGATTAACACATAGGCCAATGTCTATGGAGTAGGATCTCTTACTGTTGTTGAATCCATGATATTCATTAGTGGGAACAGCAGGACGGGCAGGAGAGCTGTGACAGCCAATGGCAGGGCTTCTGTGCACCAGAAAAGTGCCATCACTATGATAACATAACCACATTCGGCCTCCTGGGGGGCAAGAGGGGAAGAGGAGACATGATCAGAACACACTGTACATGGCACTTGGGCTTCCAGAAGGCAACAGCCCATAATTACCTGATAAAGGTATACCCCATAAATTATACCCATAAAGGTATACCCCATAATTGCCTGATAAAGGGATTAGAGAAACGGTTATTTCCTGTCCTTGTCTCCCATGTATCCTTTGACCTATGCAGATTTTAATCAAATGACAAACCGTTCAATAACCTTGTCAGAACTCTGAGAAAAAGATGAATCCTCCAGGGGGTGAAAAAATATTAACTTAGGAAAAGAAACAAATGGATGACTTTGAACCTTTCATGATAAGGGATTGGGAGTCACTGCACAGTATTTGTGATTGTGCTGATGGTGTTATATTCTGTATTTATGTCCTTGAGTTGTAGAAATAATTATGATCCAGTCAAGGCTTCTTCACCTTCTGCTTCACGTGTTCCAGGATATGGCACAGGTGAACCCCAACTAATCTAAATAGCCTGGATTCCTTATACTGTAAATATTTTACAATTTTTCATTGGATTTTTAGCTTAGTAGAGGCTTTGAAAGGCTCACTGACAGACTGGTCACAGGTCCTTTCAGCTTTCACTGACTTGTTTGTTTGATGAAAGTATGATTCCCTATTTCACATTACTCATCTTCTGAGAAAACATTGATTTAGTTCTGCTTTGGACAACCCCTCCAAATTTTATATAAAAATGTTTAAGACAGTCAGATTCAGAATTACTTGTCACAACAGATTTTCATATGGTTGGGCTGGGGATGAAAGCTAGAAGAAGTTATATTGCAGGTTGTTGTGTCTTCCTCATTTTGGAACTCGCGCAATAATGGGTGACAGCAAATCTAAAGGAAGCAAAACGTGGTTGTTTGGACTCGGATAAAGAATGTCCACTAAAATATACTGGACAGTATGAATGAAATCGCAGGGATGCTTATTGAAGCTGGATTACAGAGGATTAAAACAAGGAGCTGGGATAAGGGCTGGCAGGATTGAATTTGTGATGCTTTAGAACACGCTCAGGACTTCTGAGCGTGGCATGGAGGCTATGGAGCTGGTGACTGGGATGAAGGGGGGAGCAGTAAGAACATTAATTATCCATCCCATCAAGCACTGAAAGAAATGTTTCATTTTGATGATCCTTTTTATCCATTTTTGTTTTTAAAAGACACCTATAGGTGCCTTTTGAGAGACCCTAGAAGGGCTTTGGGACGAATGTCATAGGCACAGTGTTATTGGCTTCCATCCTGCTGTGAACGGGCTCTTGGTAAAAGTGGGGAAAAGGTTTTTCACAAAGTCAGTTTTCCTGTAAGGACATTTATCTGTCCTTAAGCAAAATTTTTAGCATTGTTTGCTCTCAATTATAATAGTTTGGTGTCCAGTGCTATGTCATTATAGGGCAGGTTAATAGCTCAACAGAATAGAAAAATGTGAAATTCCATCCTGTGAGCTGCCTGCTCACATCACTGCTGCACATGGAGGCACCAGCTTTTCCTGCTCGGCATTGCCACGGTGCACAATTCTAACCCAAAAAATCCTCTTACAGGTTGCAAAGGGAAAAGTCCAGGACATTTTAAATTTCTGTGTTGTTGCTGACTACGTAGAAACCAGAGAGAGTAATTTTCGCAGAGGAACTGAGGCAAGACTGCCAAATCATTCCACAAGTAACACCATGGACTTACTGTATGTAACAATGCCTCCAGCAAGTGAGCTTGAACTTGTAGCCTCAAGATAAAAAAAAATAAACTCTCTCTGGCTTCTTAGAACTCTTCTGATCCAGATCTCTTTTCCCGTCAGGAACTCTTTTGACTATGAAAAGTTGTCTAGCAAAAAAGGTACTTTTTCTGTTTTTCCTGCTAGTAAGCTTTTAAGTAATGATTTAAACTATTTTATTTACTTAGTGAGAGAGTGAGGTGCCACGCCTGAACAGTTACCACACTGCACCTCCAGCCAGTACCACTCTATCATTCACGCTCGCAATCCTCCTGGTCAGAGCTCTAAAGTCTCCAATAACACTCAGAGCTGTGAGGAGGAAAGAGCTTTGGGACAGGCAGGGAAGAGTTAGTGAAGTGCAGAAGGAAGCTTGGAGAAGGAGACTCTAAAGGGGGAGTCAGCAGGGATCAGGAGACAGGCACAGGCAGAGAGCAAAGAGCTACAGCTGGACGTCCAAAGAGCAGTGACAGGAGAGGCAGATTGGGACGAGTTATTTCAAGATCCTGGGGCTGTAATAAGAGACCTGAAGGCCAGAGATGAGATATTTCTGCATGAAGAGCTTGGGAGTGTGAGAAACATGCCAGAGTGAAGGAGCAGCAGAAGGCTGGCAGGCTGCTGGCTCACAGAGCTCTGTTTAAATGATCAGTGATCAATGTCCCAGATCAGGGATCAAAATGATCAATGTCCTATTACTACAACTGCTTGTGGTTAACTTTTTCTGAAGGTACCCTAAGCAAGGTGTCTTCAAAACTTGGCATTTTAAATTTAAAATCCTTGTTTGGGAAGGTTCTTACAGAAATATGCTAAAACAAGAGTGAAATACATAGTTTTTCTCCTTATGTGTCAGAATGCCTTGTCCCTCTGACCAAGGAAAATGCCTCTTCTAGATGGCAGTGACAACAAGGAAAAAGAAGATGTGGACTGGATACTGTTAGAAAGTCAGAAGAGAGTTTAAATTGAAGCTTAGATTGGAACTTAGGTTCACACCTAAGTGTGAATCTTCAGCATAGAAAGTCCTTTGCTAAATTAGTCCAAAAACAAAAGTCACCAATCACATGTCACTGAGTGTTCTTCTAGAAGATGCAATGACACATGTATCTGTTCATCCATCATTGCTTTTACATTGCCCCAATATCTGTAGGTGTCTGATCAGGGAAAGAAAAACCAAAAGACATCTTCAAGCAATAAATGAAGGTTCTCTGAGAAAGAATCTGTGCGTTCTGTTCACTCTGTCACTTACAAGGAGCAGCTCTGAGATGCAGAGATTTGGCTTTTAAATTGAACTTAAAAAATTCTTACCTTGGTAGGCACCGCCAGAGGAAGAGCAAGAGCGATAAGGGGTACTAAAATTATGATGAGGTATTTCCTGAAGGCCAGGATCATCTCCAAGATGCCAGCCATGGTGCTGGAGCTAGCCCAGTGCTGAAAGGCCTGGGATCTGCTGCTGGAGACTATATAAACACTGGGGAATATTAACCATTGACCTCAGGAGATTGGGTGTTGATTTTGGAACTGTAATCGGAGAAAGAAGGAAGAGAACAAAGAAGGGAGGAGACAGCAAAAGTGTGTCAGACCAGGAACTTTCTTAAGAAATCTTCCTGAAAGGTGGACAGTTCAGGACAGAATTAACTCCTTGTAGACCAAGTAAATTTATTAAAAGCAAACTGAAAGTACTGAATTTTAAAAAAATATTAATGGTTTTGTCTTTAATAATATCATCTTTGAATAGGTACTGTCATTCCTCCTATAAAAAAGGGAAACTGCTCCCTCCAAAATGGGTTGAAAATTGCTTTAAAAATATGTAGAGCCCTGAAAACCACATCTGCATCTCTAATAATCAAATACAGGCATTAGAAACAACGATGAAAAATGTTATATAAACATCATTGTGTTCACTAAGAAATTCAGTCTGGGTAGCAAAATCCACTGGGCAGAGCTCCTGTCACCAGGTGCCACATCAAGTTCCTGGCATGCAGGGACTGACAGTCCTTACCCTAGATCTTAGTGGACTGGCAAAGACTTGGCTACAGGGCATCACTTTGCAGACACTGGGCTTTTTTGTTTCACCTTTCAGCTCTTGCAGGTTTATAGGCACAGCTTTGGGAACTTGGAGGATGTACTGGGGGCAAAAAAAGTAAAGAAAAAAAAGGTGCTATGGGGAAATTACCAGCAATTCTTGTCCCAGTTGCAGGAAACCTCCAAAATACAAGCTGTGAATTACTTGAATCTGTAAATACACAGGAATGGAACCAAAGTTTTTTGGTGTCTCGTTAATGTCACTTCGATGGCTTTATTTGGTAGATCATACAAGCGCATGCCTCAGATAAAGATTATAACATTTCCATTTTATTGGTATAAACTGTCTTGGCGCTGTTTATAGTTTACTCAAGCAGAGATACAAAAAGGGAAGCACAGACATTAGGTCATCTGATGTCGGCTCCACAAAAAGCTTCTGCTGTTTCTCTCTCCCTTTTCTGCCAGGGCTTGTTTTCTTTCAACAATGTGCTTATGATGGAAAACCAGGGGGGTTTCAGTTGCCAGAGCTGCAAGCTTGACTTGGACATATTGCTCACAACAAACAGAGCTTTAGCATTTTACCCTTAATACAAAAAGAACGAGAAAGAGCTTTCAAATGAATTATATTCCCCCACATTTTTGCATCCATTTAATGTTTAATTAGTGTCTGAAAATGTGTAGTGGCAAAATCAGCCAACAGCAAGGTATTTTTTTCTACGTTTTACTCTAATGCCCTAAGGTTGCAATGAAAATCTAAAAGAACACGTCATTTTTGCATCTCTGTAACATGAAGGTCGGCCTCCAACTGCAGCTTCATCCGTGGAGTGTAAATAACAACGTGGAAGGGTCTCAGCCGATGAATTGTGCCTGTTCTTCAGAAGCAACATGTCCTCAGCGATCGTTTCCTCTGTCACGTGAGTCACAATACCTGCAAAGATGCTAGAAATGAGCTCTCTAAGTGTGTTACGTTTGTCTTGTTTGAGCTTTGCCTGTGGCCTATTAACAGTCCCTTGGAGTTGTCAAAGGAGCAATGCCAATTTACATTAGTTTGGAACAGTTTATACAAACGGGTTAATCTAACACTCTGAATCCCGTGCTTTGAATTTTAACAGCAACTTGGTCTTTGCTCACTGATCTGCTCTTTGAGACAGACCAAACCTCATAGGAAACCAAACAGCACAGCCAAAGCCTCTTTTATTAACTGAGCTTATAAGTTATTTTGTCCTTTATAGAAAGAAGTGTTTTCTAATGTGCTGTGAATTAATATAAGTGATCACATATTGCTAACTACAACATTTCACAGATCCGACTGCATTTAAAATGTTGACTTCTGCTTTGTTTGGAGAGAAGAAAAAACAGGGTTTACATTTAAATTTCTTCAACCATCAGGCTGGGGAGCAGCCCAGTAGAAAAGGACCTGGGGGTTCTGGCTGACAGCTGAACTTGAGCCTGTGTGTGCCCAGGTGGCCAAGGGCAACCTGGCTTGTACCAGTAACAATGTGGCCAGCAAGACTAGGGCAGTGCTGGCCGCTGCTGAGGCCAGACCTTGAACCTTGGGTTCAGTTTTGGGCCCCTCACAACAAGAAAGGCATTGAGGCGCTGGAGCGTGTCCAGAGAAGGGAACGGAGATGGGGAAGGGTCTGGAGCACAAGTCTGATGAGGAGCGGCTGAGGGAGCTGGGGGGGCTCAGCCTGGAGAAAAGGAGGCTCAGGGAGGACTTTATAAGGGTTAGAGGGGCAGCTGAACAAGGGGTGGCTGAGGTCACTCGTTTTGTTCAGCCTGGATGAGACCAAGGGGAGCCCATATCGAGGTCTGCAGCTTCCTCATGAGGGGCAGAGGAGGGGCAGGGACTGTTCTCTCCTCTCTGGTGACCAGCGACAGGACTTGAGGGAGTGGCATGAAGCCATGCCATGGGGATTTAGATTGGATGTGAGGGAAAATTCCTCCACGGAAAGGGTTGTCCAACCCTGGCAGAGGCTGCCCAGGGCAGCGGCGGAGTTACCATCCCTAGAGGGATTTAAGTGTGTGGATATGGCACTTGGGGACATGGTTTAGCGGTGGCCTTGGCCGTGCTGGGTTAACGTCGGTCTCCGTGATCTCAGAGGGCTTTTCCCACCTCAACAATTCTATGAAACAACACACGGCGAGGGGGGGGGAAGGCGGGGGGGAGCTGAGCGCTGCATCTTTATCACCGGAGTCGCTGCAGCGGCAACACCGAGGGATCCTGGGGACTCGCTGAACCCTCCCGGTTCCCGCGGGCGGCGGGGCGGAGCGGAGGGGCCCGGCCCGGGCGGAGCGGACCCTGTCCCGGCCCGGCCGGGCCGCGCTGCTCCCGCCCCGCCATGGCCGCCATGGCTGAGCCGCCGCCGCCACCCGGCGCCCCCTCGGCGCCCCCCGCCCGCCGCCGCCTTTGCCCGCCGCTGCTGCCCGCGGCCGAGCCGGTGCTGTTCCTGACCACCGTGTCCGTGGGGCTGCAGGGCCCGCTCACCACCCAGTACCTGTGGGACCGGTTGGGCGCCGAGCGCGGCTACCATCGCCACAACAGCAGCGACTCCGCCGGCTGCGGGAACAGCAGCGCTGTCGCCGACCCGCTGCAGCAGGTGAGGGGGCATCGGGGGAGAGGGGGGACGAGGGAGTCCTCAGGGAGTCCTGGGGGACCAGGGAGGAACAGGGAAGGGGAGCAGAGGAAAGGGGAGCTTCAGGGGTAGGTGGGGAGTCGGCGGGAGAAGGGACACCCAGGGGGAGCGGGGTGACCCGGGGAAGCCCCGGGGAAGTCCCGGGGAAAAGGAGAGTCCGGGGGAGCGGGGAGCTCAGGGGAAAGAGGGGACGCCGGGCGAGTGGATAAACCAGGAGCCCAAAAGGAGCAGGGGGTCCGAGGGGAGCCCTGGGGGTGCAGGGAATCCATGGGAGTGGGGAGGAGCAGGGAAAGAGGGGAGCTCGGGAGGAGTGGGGTGTCCGGGGAGACAGTGGAGCCCCAAGAGGATCAGGAAGCCCGGAGGGGAAGGGCAGCTTGGGGAGAGCGGGGCAGTGGAGAGCCCAGGGTGGCACTGGGTGCTGTTGAGAGCCCTCAGCCACCTGTTTCTCTTGCAGGAGGTGGAAGCCCTGGTCTCCCACTGGAACCTCTACATCAACTTGGGGGGCTTCTTTGTCTGTCTCTTCTCGGTGACTCTGTTTGGACCATGGAGCGACAGCGTGGGCCGCCGTCCGGCGCTCATCCTACCGGCAGCGGGCATAGCCCTGCAAACGGCCGTCTACCTGCTGGTCATGTACCTGGAGCTGCACGTCGCCTACTTGCTCGTGGGACGCCTTCTGAGTGGCCTGACAGGAGACTACAACCTGATCCTGGCCAGCTGCTTTGCCTACGTGGCCGACACCAGTGACAGGCGCACGCGGACGTTCCGGGTGGCCATCCTCGAGGCGTGCCTGGGCTGCGCGGGCATGCTGGCCAGCATCGGTGGTGGCCAGTGGCGCAAGGCCCAGGGCTACATCAACCCCTTCTGGCTGGCCTTTGCTGCCCCTCTTGCTGCCACTCTCTATGCTGCTTTCTGCCTTCGGGAGTCAGTGAAGCAGAGGAAACCAGCCAAGCTGTTCACGCTCAGCCATTACAAGGCTGTGTACAGGCTGTACACGGCCCCAGAGCACCCGAGCTCCAGGTGGAAGCTCGCTCTTTACTCTCTGGCTTTTTTCCTTCTTGTCACAGTGCATTTTGGAGCGAAGGACCTCTTTGTTTTGTATGAGCTTGGCTTTCCTCTCTGCTGGGCTTCTGACCTCATCGGGTACGGCTCCGCTGCCAACTACCTGGCTTACCTGAGCAGCCTGGGAGGGCTGCGGCTGCTGCAGCTCTGCCTTGAAGACAGCTGGGTGGCAGAGATAGCATTGATCTCGAACATTGCCGGACTGGTTGTGATTTCTCTCGCTACCACAACAGCACTGATGTTTACAGGTGATGCTGAATTCTTAAATCCTTATATTTCAGGCTTAGCGCAGAGATGCCAGTAGATGCAGGAGGGCACATGGAGGAAGTTCTGCCTCCATTTCACCCTGTGCACCAACAAAGCTGTGTCTTGCTAATGGCAATGCTGGCCAAACACTAAAGTTGAACGTGCATCCATATTTCCTAGAATATTGGGTTTCCCAGAGCTGTATTACAGTGCAGACACAGGCTAAAGTGGATTATAGGATCTAGGAGGATGAATTGAGTCTAAATACAGCAGGGAGAAACTGCCTGCAGCTACAGATTTCTGGGACTGACTTTGGAGACTTTATTTTTCAGCTGAGCTTTCCCTAATGTGCTGTATCTTGCTCACAGGTTATGGGATTCTGTTCCTTTCCATGGCAGCCACTCCAGTCATCAGATCCAAGCTCTCCAAGCTGGTCAGCGAGACAGAACAGGGTAAGGAGTTAGCTGGTGTGCTTAAGCCAGGTCCTGAAACACTGTCTTCTTGGAACACTGAAACCAAAACGTTTGAGGAAGCTAGGACTTCTGTGGTTCCTGTGGACTCCTGTGTCCTTGCACTTGCCTTCAGAGCCAGGATAGCATTTTATTTTTTTCAGAGTAATTGTCATTCATTGATTTACACTGGCTACATTTTCAAGATGAGGACAAGGAAAGCAAGATGAAAAGAATTTGCAGGAATGGTTCATTCATCTATCTGTTCATCTCCAAAAGGTTTACAAGGAGCAAGGGTTAAAATGGGTTATATAACAAGGAGAAAAGAGTGATTCTCCTGACCATAACTTTTCTCTGTAGATCAGTAACAGGGGGAAGAACCAGATGTTGTTGGAGGGTTATATCATTGACCGTGGTAAAAGATCATGGATAACCTGTAGGAGGAGCATATTTGCCTTTCGTCCAATAATGTATTTGGAGATTGTGCACTTGCTGTGAAACATGGCATAGGAATGTGTCTGAGGCAGAGGGAGGAGGGAGTTGAGGTAGCAACAATCAATAGGGGATTTTTCAGAATTCATGTTTCTTATTTTAGAATGAAGATGGTGCGTACTCGACACCAGATTATGATGCTTAATCTATAAATTGCTGTCTTCTGCTGTACTTAATATTTAACAAGTGATAAGATATGCTTTTCAGTAAACAGATCTATATAGCCCTAGTCTGAAGCATTTACAATCCAGCTGATAGATAATATCCCTGGTCAGCCCAGGCGATACCAATTCTGCAGGTTGGTGAGATGGTCCTGGCTACAGAGAGAAGCAAGTGGGACAGGTTTAACCTGCCAGGCCAACTCTGTGTCCCAGCTTACCACACTTGATACTCACACACCAGTTTTCTGATGGAAGTGCAAACCCTTAGGAAGATTCACAGAATCCCACTGAAGGTGACGTGTTAAAGCCATTTGCAGGCATTAACCACCTGTCTATCTCACCATTAATCTCTTATCTCTTTTCCAGGTGCTCTCTTTGCTTCTGTTGCCTGCGTGCAAGGGCTGTGTTCCCTCGTGGCTACAGGAGTGTTCAACTCTCTCTACCCTGTGACCTTGCACTTCATGAGAGGATTCCCGTTTCTCTTCGGGGCTATAATCCTTCTTATTCCAGCAGCTATCATTGGGTAATTTAGTTCAAATTTCTGAACTTTGCCACAGGACCTGTGAAATGCCACGTGGAAAATATTATTTACTCCTCTTAGGAGAGACAGTTTTTAAGGCATATTTTCAATTGAGCTTATGAGAGGGTGTTTGGTACCCCAGTAAACAGAGATGCAGGTCATTTCTTCTGGAATCTGAGTGCTAGGGATAAACCTGCAGCCTGAGTAATGTAGCTGCAAATATTCAGAATGCTTCAAAGTTTCACTCCACCCTCAGTGGAATCCAAAATCTGGAGCTAAATTTGAAAGTCCTCCTTTATGGGAGAGATAGAGCTCTCAGCAGTCTCTCTTCCTGTCATTTCTTTAATAATTAAAGCAAAAGTTGTATTGTGATAGAAAGCATCCCGTGGAAGGCTCTGGGAGAAGGAATGTGTTGGGATTTGCTGTAGAAGTGCAACAGCTCTTGTCAGGGTCATTTCGTTCTGTTCCTTTGAAACTTTAAAACTCACTTAATTCAGCGACATCCCAGTGTGCCTTCAAAGGTTCTAACTGTTTGTTCTTTCCTAGGTGGATTCAAATCTGGGACTCAAAACATGACTACAATCACTTCCAAGATGCTCCCCCATCCCCTGCAAAAGGCGGAGCAGCAACTTAGCAACAAAGAATTGGCCAGCACAGCAGTGTCCACCTGAAGACTGTTCTTTATTCTTCCCTCAAAGCACAGATTAGTGTGGGAGGGACACCCTCCTTGCCCCTACTAACTTTTAAATGCCAGCTAGTTGGAAATCATGGCTCTGATTACAGGAGGAACCTGATTTGCAGATGTGAATAACTCCTCAACATTGTATTGGCTCATCTGTCAGAGAAAACCCAAGAGACCCAAAAGGCAACCAAGCTGTTGTGGGCCATTTGCAAGGCTGGTTAGTGGTTTGGGGTTTGGAGAAGGCACCGTGACATGCTTTTAAGGGGGAGAGAGGACTGAGTTCTGGTTTAATTGCCAAACACATTCCCCTCTGAGTACTGCAGTATGTAGCAGATGAGCTTTTGGTGTGAGTGAGGCATGGACTGAAGCCTGCAGAGCCAGACTGAAGCAGAGGTACCCAACAGTGTACTGCTGAGGAGGAAGATCCATGATCTGGATCAGCATGTTGCCTGTAAAAATCCTACAAGTGTCACATGCCAGACCAAGCTCCCACAGAAATCCTTATGGAGAGGGCTAGTTTAGCACAAGAGTGCTATTGCTGTCCTTATTGACTGAACCAGCTTCAGTTTTGCAAGTTAAAGGTGTCCTAGGAAGAGGATCTAACTCATGAAGCGTTTGTAGGAGTGCCAGTTGCATGTCCTGCCTGTTTGCAGCTCAGCCCAGGATCTCAAAGGTGCTTTTAAAAAGTAACAGATCGTCTGAGAATACTACAGCGCAAACAGAATATATCCTGAGTTGGAAGGAGCCCACAAGGATCATCAAAGCAACTCCTGTCAGTGCCTTAATTGACAGTTTGATGAACTTAAGGCTAAAATTGCCAAACTGGACCCCCCCTAAGTGAAGCCCCTTACACTGTAGATGTGCCCTGGTGTCTTGGGAAATCACTGCTGTGCTAATGGCAGAGTCCTTCCTCACCAATACACTGTGCTGTAGTGATGAGCTGGTGTGGGACTAGTGTCTTTAAAGTTAATTTTTTGTTGTTGTACGGGGCACAACTTCATGTTGGTGACCTCAGTTCTGCTGCCTCTCTCAGGATCTGTTGATGCCAGTAGGCAAATCTCATGTTCATGGTGCTTAGAATTGTTCCTTTCAAAGCACTGCCTGTATTGCCGCAATCCTGTTTTCTTCCAAGTGCCATAAACCAGCAGTTCTGTGTACACTGCACTGCACATGCTGTTCAAGTACCTGCAATAATGTCATTACTATTACTTTCAAAATGAATAAAACCTCCATTCTCTTTTATGGCTCATAAAATGACAGATTTCTTGTGCAGCTGTTGATATCGTTTGTCCTTGCCCTTTCCGGGGCTTCTCTCCATTATTTTTATGCTTTGTCCTTTATTGAAGACTTTGCAGTAAAGAAGCAGCAGTGGGAATTTATCTGCCTTGTGGAGAATGAGTGTGTGAGAGTCACAAGTCAGGAAAAATGCAGGTTTGGGACTTGCAAGGAGCCAAAACTTACTTTTCCTGACCACCCGAGTAAAGGTTGCGGGAGTGCTTTGTCTAAAACCTGTCCTTAAGTATGAAGTAAATATGAAATGCTTATACACAGCCTTGTTCCCATCCATTAGGAGTTTGTGACAAAAGCAGGGGAACGGGGGAGAGGAAAAACAAGATAATTGGGGAGTAGAGAAGCAGGAGGTAGAGAAGCAGAGAGGCTTAAAGAACTTGGTGTTACGCCACTTGCTCTGTGTGGGAATGCCAGAGGACATAAGAGTTACGGGTCTGATTGCTGGGCTAAGCCCAGAATGAACCTCCCTGAGGAACAGGGCATGCTGTGAGTGTTGTGGTAGATGTTTGTGGCTGAACTGATTGTGAAGTAAAGTTCTTCTCTACCACGGGCTCCATGGATGCCAATCCAAGCGGCTGCTCAGTGTGCAGTGAGGTGGAACTTGTGTACTGGCTCTGCTCCCCTGCTTGTGCCAGTGTGCTTGCAGGGGAGAAATTCAATAGGAACTATTATGCCTTATTAAAAAAATTAAAGCAAAGTTTTTCTAGGCTGTCCTCCAAGAACTACAACAGAGAAGCCATGTGTGGTGACTGTGGGCAGCAGGTGGAGTCCCTGGGGCTGCAGGGAGCTACATCAGTCCATGCAAAGGTGAGGGTGAAGTGGGGGGTCCTGCAGGGAATGGTGCCTGGGGAATGTCAGTTCTGCTGCATGGTGGCAAGGGAGAGCAAGTGTGAGAAGGCTGCAGAAAGAGAAGCCCATGACACAGAGATGAGGTGAGGATTTAGAGTGTAAACCAGATTTATTAATAATTCCTGATAGAACAACTCCAGACACTTTTGACATCACATAGCAAAGGAATGAAGGGAGGGTGAGGACAGAATTCCTTTCCTTGAGAGTGCTCCAGCTGGAGGGGGCTGGGTACGAGATATTTTGCCAGGAGCAGGGTGAGTACATGAAGGTGAAGATAATGATGGAGAAACAGGAGGAGTCACAGTCTGGGCAGCTGGAGCATGAGATGGGATCTTGTTCCAGGTGAGTCACCTGAGCTGTAGAGAATAAGTAAATCTCCACATTGAATAGTGGGCGAGGAGGTTAATTGCTACAGAGCTCCTGGGAAACAAGATGCAATAATCTTAGTGGGTATTATTGTAGGGAGAAAAATCCTTAGAACTGTTTGTGTGGGACTCCTTCAGTGGCCATGGAGGCCTTGACATTCAATCAGTTATTCAAGACTTTTCCCTGAAGCAGCTCACAAGTGGCTTTTTTGCTTCAGCAGATTCACCTTTGAGCTCATCTGCTGGCTTCTTCATATTTAATCTGCAGATAAGATAGATTCTATTTCTAGGGGATTCTGGGCAGATATGGCTATTAACCTTTCACTGGAGAGCAAAGATGCCATTAACTGTGGGCTGATAAGAGCTATCCATAAAGCTGTGATTAAGCACCATAATTAACTTCTTTTTTTTTTTTTTCCCTGAAATGTTCATGAGTCTAAGCCAGAAGAAAACGTGTTTGTGTTCCTGCCAGTTAAGGCAGGCAGCAAGGCTTCAGGGAGAGCCAGGAGGAGGACAAGGTAGCTGAGACTCCTCTTTATCTCCTGAAAGAGTTATCTTGAGCAGGGATGGGAAGAGGAGCTTGCTGCTTCTGCAGGGTGATGCAGCAGCCTGGTCTTCAGAGCATCAGGGCAGCCTGGTGTTTTTCCGTGTTCCTCCGTGCTCTCCCTCCTGCCCATGCTCTGAACAAGAATGTCTCTTTGCATTACTCACTTTGCATTAAAAAATACAAACTTAGGTAGGAGATGCAATTCCTGCTCCTAATTGCAAAATGGCTGCTCGCCCTCCAAGCAGGTGGGAGAAGCAGGACAAGGCTGGGAGCGTGGAATTCAGGGATTTGTGTCAGGATGCCCGTGGTTCCTCACCAGCAGTGTTAGCAGCAGGCAGTGCCAGTCCTGGTCCCAGCGGCTCACTCCTAGCATCTTTTGCCAGCCCTTTGCATCAGCTTTACTCTTCCTTGATATTTTAAGGTGAGTAGCTGCAAAAAGCCCCTGTGGGTGTTGAGAAGAGCTCGGTAGAAAGAAACAAATGCTACTTGGTACTGCATCCATCAGTGAGTAGGGACAACCCCGAGGAGCTCAGCCAGGGCTGTTGGGGTGTGTGATGTGGAGCAGTGACAGAATAAAATACAGCCAGTGGATAATAACCCCATGAGTACAGCACAGCAATTAGCATCTTGCCTATCTGCATGGAGATATGTTTTCCAGAGTCACTGTCCAGCCTCCCACACCCTAGAAGTACAGACCTGATAAGAGTGGTGAAGCTGAGACATCAGATGGAGAGAAGGAGGGTGTTTTAAAAGCACTTCTGGAGAGATCCTGCAGAAACTTCACATGGTCTAACCCCAAACTTGCATTGCCAGAGTTAAGAGCACACAGTGGTTTTGCAGCACTGGGAGGTGGAAGGCCCTCGAGGAGGGATTGAGCTCTTGTGATAAAGGGACATTACTGGAAAAGAGAAAGCAGTTCAGAAGGCCTCTGTGTGTTATCTTTGCCAAACACAGGGATTTTGTTAGGGCTTAGCTTTTATTTGCCCTTTCCTGCTCTCAGTTGCTGACCACAAGGATATTGCCATGGCACAAGCAGAGCCACACGGTGCTTATGGACCATTTCCTGTCAGTTGTTCTTCTCTCCCATGTGTCCTTTCGCAATGGATCCTCACGAGTTCCCCAGTTTTCAGCCCTTAGAAGATCCTGCCTCTTTGCACGTGTTTCTGGGGGAAGCTGCAGCTGCTTGTGAGGGGCTGGATGGTGCCAGTCTCCCTCACACCCCCTGCACGTCCTGCTGTCCCACAGGAGGATGTGGAAGACAATTTATCCATCCTGGAGTCCACCCAGACTTGGCTCACCAGGTGCTGTGTGAGTGAGTACCGACCTTTTAGGTCCAAGGGCTTGTATTTGGAGGGTGAAGAGGGAGTAATGAGCCACAGGCCTTCTCTCAAGCCAGGATACTAAGATGGGAAAGAGTCAAGAGAGACAAATTGGGACCCACACAAAAAGGGGTCACCTGGGAAGTCTCTGTGGGGGATGAGGCAGCTGTGCTGGTTCTAGCTCTGCCCCACGGACAGCAAGCAGTCCAGCCCATTCTCTGACCCAGCCGAGGAGTCCCGGGAAGAGCGGCCCTGGAGAAAGCGGATTATTTTTTCGATCGTGGCCTCCTGGTACTCATGGGACCACCTGTGTTTGAGGAGAAAATGTGGTTTAATTTTTCTGTTGCCTGAGATGCCACAAGATAGCTCTGTTCATTTGGGCTGGGAGCCCATGGAAAATGGAGCAACACTGGATGCTGTGGGATGCCCTGCCAGGCTGGGACACATGAGGGGGAAGCAAGAGGGGAGAGGAATTCAAGTGAACTGCAAAACCTGCCAGCATCACTCCTGCCTGGAGGGCTGGGGACACAGGGAAGGGTGTCCTCCCAGCAGTGCTGGCATGGGGAGCTCTGTCACCCAGAGCAGCCACAAGCACAACACGAGCAACAGAGCTGTAGTGGGAACCTTTGCTCCCTGCATGCTCTGGAGTGACTCACTGCTCCTTTGACCTGTTCTGCCTCCCTCATCTGTTTCTCCCAATGTCCTTGTGCTCTTTGCTACTGCTTATGCAAGGTGTTCTCTCCAGGTGTCAAGTAACCTCAAGTCACAGATGGCTTTTACTTACTTGATACCATTAAATTTCAGGACAGCCCTCATGTCCTTGGGAAGCGTTTCTGGGTCTGGCCACTCAAAATGGTCTGTAACAGGTACAATGTTCTTTCCAGAGTTCAAGGCTGTCACGATCTCCTGCAGGAACATGCAGGTGCTCAGGCTGTGGCCTGTGTCAGCCCATCACCAGCCCCTTCCTGCTCCAGTGTCCACCCAGCTCCCACCTGATGGCATTTCCTACCTTGTGTACCCAGTCCTTGCACTCGGGGTCTTCCATGCATTTATCCAGTGCATTTGGTGAGAGGACCAGCACAAAATTGCGGGCGCTCATGACGCTCTGGATCAGCTTGTCCTCAAACTTCCCTGCCTCCAGCTTCTCCACGTCAATGAACACGCTGAAACCGTGCAGCTGCAGGTGGACCTTCAGCAGGCTGGTGGCAAGAGAGGACAGCACCATGAGGAGAGGTTTCACATGCTCTCCCACCCCATTGCTAAGATATGGTGAGACAGAGGAGCAGCAAAGAGGATCCCACAGGAAATGGCACGGTTCTTGAGATGCCAGCTCCAGCCCAGCCTGCTTACAGCTGTCTGGGCACATGCAGAGAACACAGGGAGCTGACCATTAGCTCCCTGCTGTGATCCCCGAAGAGCACAGCTTGAGGAAAGGGTAAGTCAGTGTCAAAGAGGAGCAAGGTGGCAGTGACAGGACTGGGAATTAGCCTGTTCACTGTGCGGGTTATGGCACGTGCTGTCCCTGTTTGCTCTGTGGCTTTTGGCAGCACCTCCCTCCTCCCCATTCCACGTTTTTCCCACAACTGATAACATGCCTTTGCTCTGGACTTCAGCCCAGCACCACAATCTTGCCTTCAGGACTCACCTGGCCAGCTGCGACCCCGTGCTCCTCCGGTAGCTGATGAACACATCAGTCCCGTTAGACGTGGTTTGCAGTGTTATAGGGGAGTGAAGCGTTTCTAGGCAGAGCAAACAGAAACCAAAAGTTAATAAAACCCCAGCAGCTCACCCCAAACACCCCCCAGTGCTCATCCACCCCTTCCCGCCTGCCCCGCAGTGGCGGTGCCCGCACCCCTGGCCGCGGTGAGGATGCGGACGCGGTGGAAGCCCGTGTTGATGTGACAGTCCTCCTGCAGCTGCTGCTCCGTCACCCGGTGCAGGAAGTTGCGGTTGATGCCGCAGGTGAGCAGGTTGTAGGTGTACTGCCGGAATTTGGGGTCGATGCCGCCCAGCCAGTCGGCCAGGTTGCTGCGGTCGCAGGTGGAATAGTTTGCAAAGGTCTTGAGCTCTGTCAGCTCCCGGAAAAACCTGGCGGAGAAACAAACGACGGTGTGGAGCGGGAAGGGGAGAGCTGAGACACCAGGCAGAACCTAGAGACATGTGGTACCACATCTTTTATCTGCCCAGGAGGGAGTGCAGCTCCATGCTGTGGTGAAGGATGAGCGAAAGGAGTAGAAAAGAGAACAGCTGCATGGGAGTGCTGGTCCTCGGGTGTGGGAGTGTGAGAAGCTCAGCTAAGGGAGGAGAAGCTTGGGTAAGTTCCTGTCTTTCTAAGTAACTTGCAGGAACCCACATGCCCAGTGCCATAGGTGGTCTTTCTCCATCCAACACCTCTGCCATGCACTGGCTCCATTGCAGAAATCCCTCTGGGACTGCAAAGTGCAGTGGAAAAGTCCTGGCAGTCCAGGTTTTGCATTTGGAGGATCTCTGTTCTTGTCTTTGCAAGAAGGGAAATGCACAGACCTTGTCCCCAGCTCTGCCACTGTGGTGATGGCCATGAGAGAGTCCAACATGCCCTGGTGGCAGTCTTACCTTTTCCGAGTGATGCTGGAGTCCATCCCCAAATCCTCTTGCAGCTCCTTCTCTGTCAGCCTCAGCAGAATGTCCCCATCCACCTGGTGATCCTGCCAAGAGAAATCCAGGCTGGAAAGGTCTCAGGAAAAGGTTACACCTCTGCTGCAAGATGGGGCAGAAGGGCCCATCTGCGTGTCCCTCCCCTGGCACAGAGCCCTACCAGAAATCTCTGGCAGTATTTGTTGAATCCGATCTGCTGCAGCCACGTCTGCACCTCGCAGGACTTCCAGTTGGGAACCGTGGGCAGGATGCGCCGAGGAACCTCCTCCCCTATCATGCGCAGCACCTTTTTGGCCAGGGAGGAGGTGGTGCTGCTGGTGGAGTAGCACACTATCCTCTTCAGGCTCTGCGTAGCCCCGATCTCACCGAAAATCTGGGGACACGAAAGGTGGAGACTTTGCTTTCCCTCCTCCTCCCCACAAGCTGTGCCGGGCCAGGTGTGCAGGACCAGGGTGCTTGGTGAGCTCACAGGGGAGCAAAAGACACCAAGATGCAGTTGTGGCCACCCTTCCCTTTGGCATCGCCTTCCTTCAGGCCAACCTACCCTTTACCTGTGTTTTCTTCTGCCTGGTTTTGATGGTGGCCTCGGTGCAGAGGTAGAAGGCAGCGATGCACTGGGCTTCCAGCCGTGAGCTGTCCAGCAGGGGCACGAGCTGCTGCAGGTCCTCCGCCGTCCGCCCCTGGACGTTGTCACTGCTGCCCAGCATCTCGCAGGCGAACCGCTCCGGGTCCAGCGAGGCGATGAACGGCTCCACCAGAGCCAGAGTCCCCGAGCGCTCCACCTCCTTCTCGATTTCCTTGTTGGTGGCCAGCACCGTGATGGCCAGGCACGCGTGCAGCCGGATGAGTTCGTCATCCTTTGAGAACACCAGAGGGAAAAGCCACTCTGCTGCCCTCTTCTCGATCATCAGGCGCTGGTTGGCCTGCCCTCCGTACATGGCACAGTTGGCCAAGGCCATGGCACAGTGCCGCAGCACGATGGGGTCCGTCCAGCGGCACCAGTACAGGATGGCATCCAGGCCTCCGTCAGAGATGAGCTGGAAACAGGTCTCCTCAGTGTGTTTGAACATGTGCTCCAGGATCCCAGAGACGCTTTGCACCAGCTGGGGAACATCTCGCTCCTTGGCTAAGTTCAGAATCACGCCCAGGCCGATCCGAGCAATCCGATCCCTGCGGAAAGGAGAGGGACAGGAAGGTGAAGGGGAGATGGATGTGCAAGGAGTGAGAACAGTGACTTGCATGTGAACTCCCCCATGCTTCAGTGGCATTTGTCCCAGGACAGACAGGTGTTTCCCTGTGGGACACAGGTGCCAGATATGCAACGCAGTGAGATGCAACAGGTTGTGTTGGAAGAACTGGTGTTGGAAAAACCTATCTGGGTCTGATGGAAGAGCTTGTGACGGGACAGGACATGGAGTGCACAGCCCAGGGCCACCTCACTGGATGCTCACATGCTTGAGGTAGGACATACATAGCAATTAACAGGCAGGGGAAGCTAATGTCAGGCTGGAAATGCATTTGCTGTGTCAGCATTGCTGGAGGTGTGTGAACTGCTTTTTGTTAGGGGGTGAAACTTCTTCGTCGCTAAGCAGAGCTGCCAGGACAGGGCTTTCACACCTGGCTGAGCAGCCACACACCCCTGTCTACAGGGACGAGTGAGTGCCAGAGATGCCTGTCCTATGATGGCAGCTGGAGGAAAGCTGTTTGTTTCCCCCATCCTGTGCTTTCCTGGAAGAGGACAGCAAGAGTCCAGGGCAGGTGGCCAAGGGCCACCAGCTGCTGCTTGGCCATGGCTGTCCTTGGGAGCCCTGTGCTGCTAGGATGGTCTTAAAGTGACACCTGAATGGGGCTGTGCCCTGAAAACACAGTGAGGAAGGGGGAAATCAGGATCATAGAACGGTTTGGGTTGGACAGGACTTTAAAGCTCATCTCATTCTAACCCCCGTCCATGGGCAGAGACACCTTCCTCTAGATCAGTTTGCTCCAAGCCACATCCAACCTGGTCTTGAACACTTCCAGGGATGGGGCAGCCACAGCTTCTCTGGGCAGCCTCTGGCAGTGCCTCACCACCTTCTGCGATGGGCTCTTGGCTGCCCTCCATGAGCTCTCCTGAAGTGAGTAGCAGCTCCATCTCTGCCCTTACCACCTGCTTGGTGCTGTGATGGAGCTGCCTGGTTTGTGAGGCAGTGCTGGCACAGATGCCCCATGCTGTGCTGCTCATGAGGGCAGTGCCACGCTTGGTCCCCAGCGGCGGTGGGGTGATGACACATCAGCCTCTGTGCTGGCAGGCGGAAAGAACATTTCTGGGAAACCTGTGACCCACAGGGCTCACGCTGACCTTGGGGTGGGTTTGACAGGAAATGCTGTGGAGAGCTCTGGGAAAAAAAAAAAAAGCCCTCAGCCTGGGTCTGGCTTCGAGCCCAGACTCGGACATGGAGCTGGATGACAAACACGGCCCCACCAGGTCCCCAACTCCCCGCAGCCACAGATGGAGCCAAGGCTGGTCCAGCTCCCAGCTAAACACCACTGCTGCTGTGCACGGAGTGGAAGAGGTCTGTAAGCCAGAGGCTTGGATCCAAGGGGGGACCCCACACCTCCCTGCTGTCGATCGGAGGTTGATGGTGGGTCAGGCTGCAGGGAGGAAGGGGCTTGGGGCCCATGGCTTCTCCAAGACCCTGACCCATGAACTGCTCCTGGAGCAGAGATGGCGACTCCAGCAAATGCTTTCTCTTGCCAAGAAGCTGAGTGCTGAATGCAGACCGTGCCAGTGATGCTTCCTGGGATTAAATTCCACCCTAATGGGCTTTTCTAATTTGGTTGTCGCTTATTTTTGCCTGCCAGTGCATGCAGTGAGGCCCAGGCTGGGAGTCCACAACCTTACAGCAAGAGACATCACCCAGGAAGCTGGAGCAACTCTTTGGCCAGGCTCCCTCCACGTGCTTTCCAGACCCCTGGCTGGGGACGGCTGGGCTGGGGTGCTCCAAGGGAGAGCAGAGCTGGCAGAGTGCGTTTGGGGTGTTGGAAGGGTGGGTTTTGTGCAGATGCTTTATCAGCAGTGCTGTGCATTTGGATGTGACAGGATCCACCTTTGTGCACACATTTGTACACACACACACACACACGCGTGGAGGCACACAATCCCACCCTACCTGTGCCCATGCTCTGGCAGAGCCAGCCCAGCACCTCTCACCTGTCCTGGGCAGCAGCACATGTGTCTGAGCGAGGGGCCATGGGCTGGGGGGCTCTGAGGCCCACGCACCAGCCAGCCCCCTCCTTATGGTTCCGTTCCAGCCCTGGTCAGCAGCAGGAAGTCTCTGAGAAGTGGCTTTGTCCTCCTCCTCCCGCTGCGGTCATGGCTAAGGGGGAGTTGCGTCTTGTCCTTGGGGTCAGATGCTCTGAGCCAGCCAGACTGACTCAGCTCGATCACAGAGGGTGGCCCCAGGCTGAGGGGGGCACCCCGATCCTCACCAGCATCCCTGAGCTGGGGCCAGTCCTCCTCCCTCCAGCTGTGGGGGAAGGGAGCAGCTCATACCACTGCCTGGACATGAGTCAGGGACCCTCAGTGCAAGTGGTGGGTGTGGGGGGATATGGTGGAGATCCGAGGGGGTTGATGCACCGGAAGCACCCAGAGCAGGGAAATTTATGGGGTGAGATGGGTGTAGGCAGGTCAAGGCCAGATTGGATGGGGCTTGGAGCAACCTGGTCTAGTGGAAGGTGTCTCTGTCTATGGTGTGGGGTTGGAACTGGATAGTCCATAAGGTCCCTTCCAACCCAAACCATTCTGTGACCCTGTGAAAGAGCTGACGGTGCCTGGGGCGGTGGGGAGGGCTATGCCTCGCAGGGCGGGGGGGTTCTTTGCAGACTCACCTGTTTTCTGCCACCAGGATCTGCTCCAGGAGTTTTCCTGCCTGGCACTTGGTCTCCAGATCGGCGGTATACAGCAGGTTGAGCAGCAGGTCCAGGCCCCCCTCCAGGCGGATCACATCGCACAGCACCTTGGCCACGTCCCTCCCCAGCGCGGGCATCCCCCAGGCCTCCTCCACCAGGCGGAACACCTCGGTGATGGCCGCCCGCAGCCCCTCGGGGGTGGTCGCCTGCGTGGCTTGGGCGATGGCCCGGCGCAAGGCGGGCAGGACCCGCTCCAGCGCCTCCCGCACCTCGGTGCTCACCCCTGGGGAGACCCCCCGGTGCTCCCGGGCGCTGCCCCCGCCCGCCCAGCCGCCCGCCCGGCTCACACACTCGGGCACCGTCAGCCGCTCCGCGCTCGCCATGGCCAGGGACCGGCCCAGGGTGTGCAGGGAGAGGAGCAGGGCGAGCATCCGTGGCTGCTACCGCAGCATCCCCTGCCACCCACCCCGCAGCGCCCGCAGGGACCCCCCGCTCCTGCGGGGACGCGGGTGGCCGCGGGGGGGTCACGGGAGGGGGGCCACGTCCCGCTCCCCCCTCTGCCCTGTCGGGATGCGGAGCTGGAAGCGGAGCGGGATCCGCCTTCCCCGAGCCGGGCTCAGCATCCCGGTCCCCGGGGCTGATGTCACCGGGCGCAGGCGCCGCCTCTCCGAGGAGGGGCTCGGTCCGGCAGCTGCATCCCCCTCCCGCTGCAGATGCTCCGGCATCCCCCCAGACCCCTCCTGTCACCAGCCCTGCAGGGATTTAACAGAAGCGTGGATGTGGCACTTGGGGACAGGGCTGGGATAACGGTTGGACTCGATTTTAGAGGTGTTTTCCGACCTAAATTCTATGATCCTATGATTGTGGCCTTTCAGTACTTAAACAGGCCTTACAGAAAAGAGGGAGAGTGACTACTTACTCAGGTAGACAGTGATAGGACACGGGGCAATGGTTTTAAACTAAAAGAGGAGTGATTCAGATTGGATATTCGGAGGATGTTCTTCCCCGTGAGGATGGCGATGCACTGGCACAGTTTGTCCAGAGAAGCTGTGGATGTCCCATCCCTGAAAGTGTTCAAGGACAGGCTGGATAAGTCTTGGAGCAACCTGTTATAGTGGAAGATGTCCTTATCCACGGCAGGAGGCTGGAACTAGACACAAAGAATTCCGTGATTCCACAGCCCCCTCTGCCCAGCCTGAGCTGGGGCTTGACCTGCTGTCCCCATGGCCCTCCACCTTGCCCGAGCTGCTGCTACGGTGGTCACCTCCACAGCAGGCAGGGACTCCCACACTGTTTTTGCAGCAGGTCTCTCCGGGACCCTCTGTGACCAGGGAGGGGGACACAGGGTGCAGGTAAAGGGTCGGGCACCACCGTGAGCACAGCCGTGGGCACAGTGAGGCTGTGACCACCCTGGCACAGTTTTGAATCCATTTGGTATCAGCGGGGGGCAAATACGCTTTGCTTGGTGGAAATTCAAAACAGCTCTTCTGGGTGGGCTCGGGATTTGCATGATAAAGGAAAGACCAGAGGAAGCCTGGGCCTCTTTTGTTTTCTTTTTTCCAGGCCAGACGTGCTCAGGGCAGAAATGCTTTGGACATTTCTCGTCCGTGCTGGGAGGAGCAGCTTAAATCCTTGGCTCCAAAACCAGGTTGTTGCCAGCTCAGCCTGAGACTTAAATTCAGGTTGATGTTTTGATGTGACAGAGTGGCTTTTAATCCTCTCTGAATCCACTGCGCAGGGGCAGACAGAGAAGGGGACATCGACTCACAGCAAAGGACTGGAAACAAGGCACCCCGAGTGCTACGATACGGCGGGAGAGGCTCGGCACAGAACCAGTAAGGAATTTTCTGATAAATTATTATTAATCAGGGGTAACGATACAGCCATTGCAGTGCAGAGCAGCAGAGGGATTTGCTGCCCGGGGGCATCAAAATTCAAACCATTCCCTCAGGCTTGTCCTGACAAGAAAGGAGAAACTGAACTTTGCTTTGCTTTTAGTTTTCCTTTCCTTTGCTTTGCTTTTTGGGAGGGATTTCCAGCCTCGGCAGCCTGGGCTCTGGGGTGGCAGGGGTTCCCAGCCTTGTACTGGGGGATCAGCCCCACCGCCTGAGCTCTCCTTGCTGGGTTTGCTCAGCCCTTGGTTGCAGGGGCTCCCCAGGGCCCCGTTATCCAACCAGCCCCTCTCCTGGGATCTCCTCCTGGCACGGAAGGACTCTCTGAGCCTTTATGGGTCTGTGGCTGGTGGTTGGGAGCCTGGAGCAGCAGGAGGGAGCTTTGTCTCAGCCGATCAGCAAAAGCAGCTCAGACATTGCCCAGCCCTTCTCCCCCACAGCCTCCCGCAAGCCTGAGCCCTCCCAGGGCTCTTGTCCCCCAGGCTTGGTTCAACAGGGATGGGATGAAGCCGTAGTGCAGCACTGGGCTGGTGCTGGCAGCTGGGGACAATGCCAGCCCTGCCATAGCTGAGGCCAGGGGACAAGGAGGGGCGTGATGGGCTGCAGGAGAAGTCCTACCCCAACAGCCCATGTCTGGTGGGTGCCCTCGGCACCCCAGGGCTTCCCAGGTGGAAATGCCTGTCTCAAAACCAAATAAAGGTCTTTTTAGCAAGGATGGGAGCACATGATGCCAGGAAGTGCCTGTGTCTGAGCTGGCAGAGGAGAGACCTCTGGAGAAGTGGGCACCCTGCTCAGGTTCTTCTCTCCCCAAATCTTACATCACTTAAAACCCAGAGCTGCACCCCTCCTGTCCCAGGGCTGGGATGGACCCCATGGAGCTCCTGTCCCAGCAGTGCTGTGGCAGGGTAGGCAGCAGAGGAAGGATTGCTGCAGCCTCATGTACATTTGCTCCTTGCCCCTGATTAAATAACCATCCCAGAGTTATCAGAAGCTGCCAAAAGAGCTGAGTTGACATTAATTAGTAACCGAAAAGATTGGTTAGAACGGGAATGACGGGAGCAAAATACACAGGCTTTTGTTTGCCTTCTGCAGAGAAAGTGCAGAGGGTTCCTGTCCTCCCTCTCTCCCGGCCACTCAACTCTGGCCTCTGGTCCCCACGCACAAAGGTGGCACCTGCCCCATCCCAAGCCACCATGCTTTGTGGCTCCCCAGGTCTGTTCCCAGCCTTGACATTGAGAAAGCTGAAATCCCAAGAGTAAGTCCTCCAAAACAGTGATATTTTGAGCAAGCATAAGCCCAGGGGTTTTCCCTGTGCCCTCTGAGCATTGCTCCCTCATCCTGTCTCATGTGGGTTTTTATCTTGCCAACACCAGCCTGGGAAACAGCCGGGAGCTTTAATACCATGACACTTGCTAGGAAATAAGTGTGGCAGGACCTCAAAACTGGTTCCTGGCTCAGGCCTGCCATCCCTCCCCGCTCTCTGAAGAGTGCCCAACCTGCACACGGGCTGGGGTAGAGCTGCCTGCACGTGGGGGGAGCCCTGTCCCCCACAAACACACCTGGCTCAGTACAGCCTGTGGGGGAAGATGAGTGGGAGATCATCTCTGCCCCTTTTCCCCTGTTCTGACCTTGGTCTGTTTGTTTTCTCCTGCCGGGACAGGCTGAGCAAACAGTGGATGCTGGGGCTCCGGCCACTGCTGCGCTCCAGCCCGCACAGTCACAGGAGGGCTGCGCTCCCGGACACCCAGGATGAGGCTGCTCTTCCCTACCCTGGCACTGGCCCTGCTCGTCACCACCCGTGCTGCTGAAGGTGAGCCTTAGCCAGCCAGGTGCCCCACGCCAGGTGCTTTGGGGATGGAGCAAGTGCAGCTCCTGGGCTGATGGAGGGGCTGGGGAGCCTGGGCAGAGGAAGGAGAGACCTAAGGGTGGCCGTGGCCACTGGCAACATTGGCTACACTGCAGGACAGGGAGAAAGCAAGTGGGCAGCACATGGGTATAGATGGTGCCTTGGCAAATCTCTGGCCATCCTACAGCTGGGCTGCTAGTGTGGAGCTGGGACCCTGACACAACCTTGTGCAGGGCTCCCACCTCAGCAGGACCTGGGTGGGAGCGGGACAAGATGCCAGGTAGCCGCTGGTGGTGGGGTTGACCATGAAGAAGTAGTGTGCCCCTAATCATGACATACTCAAGTTTGCTTTCACCCCGGGACTGGGCTGGGGGGAGGCATAGGCCCCACTTCCCACCCCACATTACTCCTGTGCTGTGGGGTGGCTTTTGCAGACTCCTGCAAGGGCCGCTGCGATGACGGCTTCGATGCACAGCGCAAGTGCCAGTGCGACAGCCTCTGCATGTACTACCAGAGCTGCTGCAGCGACTACTCCACCGTCTGCAAGGCCAAAGGTACCGGCCCTGCAACCGCCCTCCCGGCTGGGGCATGGGGGGAGTGGGGTGGCTGTGGGTGCCTGACACTGGGGTAGCTCAGGGGGTCTGTGCTGGGTCGGCTCTGCACCCACCTGTGTCCATGGGGTGCAGTCAGGGCGCTGCAGCACGTGGGGTTTTCAGGAGCTGGATCACTGCCACCCACAGCGTGGGGTCCATACAAATTGGATAGATTTGATAGTAGAAAAAATGTCTTCACTGAAAGGGTGGTCAGGCGTTGGAATAGGCTGCCCAGGGCCGTGGTGGAACCACTTCCCTGGAAGTGGTAAAAAAGAGTAGTTGTGACACTTGGGGGCATGGTTTAGTGTTGGACCTGGCAGTGTTGGGTTATCGATTGGACTTGATGATCTTGGAGATTTTTTCCAACTTTAACAATTCCATGATTCTATAAATCCATATTGCCTGGGAGTGAGCAGCTCCCACAACCAGACCCAGTGGGAGACACCCAGGGCTTCCTGGGACCAAACTGCTCCCTCCCACAGTGACCCGGGGAGATGTCTTTGCCTTGCCGGAGGATGACTACCTCGACTACAACCTCACTGTCGACTTCGGCACGGAAGAGCCCCCCAAGGCAGACCCCACGGAACTGCCCACATTCCCATCACCAGTGGAGACCACACCAGAGAGCAATCCAGATCCTGAGGAGACAGAGCCGCCCGTGGTGCCTGGCCCCACAACAGATGGGTTCGAGGAGCAGGATCCTGAGGAGCTGTGCAGTGGGAAACGTTTTGACGCCTTCACCGACCTGAAGAACGGTTCCCTTTACGCTTTCCGAGGTACCTTGGGGACCTTTCCCGGGCACATGGGATGTGCTGTTGCACCGTCACCCCACAGCAACATCTGGAGTCCCTCCTAATGCTCCCATCTCCCTTCTCTCCCCAGGGAAGTACTTCTATGAGCTGGACAAGATCAGTGTGCGGCCTGGCTACCCCAAGCTGATCAGCGACGTCTGGGGCATTGAGGGCCCTATCGACGCAGCCTTCACACGCATCAACTGCCAGGGCAAGACTTACCTCTTCAAGGTGGGCTGGAGCTGAGCTGCAGGGCTGGGGGAGCTCCTGGGGTGGCTGGCACAGCCCCCAACCCACCCTATCCCCTCCTGGCACCCTCCATGCACCCACACACACAGTGGTTGCCAGACATCCCCATGCCCCTGTGGCACTTCAGGGGCCCCAAGCAGCCACAGCCTCATGATGGGGCTCCACAGTATCCACTCGCTCCCCATGGCAGACCTGGGCCTGGGGGATGCTGCACCCTGACCCCACTCTGTCCCACACCTCCCAGGGCACCCAGTACTGGCGCTTTGATGACGGAGCCCTGGATCCCGGGTACCCACGTGACATCTCCGAGGGCTTTGAGGGCATCCCA